AGTGGGGCGATCTCGGCTCACTGCAACCTCTACCTCTCGGATTCAAGCAGTTCTCCTGCCTCAGCCTCCCAAGTAGCTGGAATAACAGGTGCATGCCACCATTTTTTTGTTTGTTTGAGACAGTCTCGCTGTGTTGCCTAGGCTAGAGTGCAGTGACACGATCTCACCTGCTTACTGCAACCTCCGCCTCCCGGGTTCAAGCGATTCTCCTGGCTTAATCTCTCGAGTAGCTGGGAGCCTAGCTAACTTTTGCGTTTTTAGTAGAGATGGGGTTTCACCATGTTGGGCAGGGTGGTGTCAAACTCCTGACCTTGTGATCCACCTGCTTCAGCCTTCCAAAGTGCTGGGATTACAGGTGTGAGCCACCACGCCCGGCCTTTTGTTTTGTATTTTTAGTAGAGAGGGGGTTTCACCATGTTGGCCAGGCTGGTTTTGAACTCCTGACCTCATGTGATCTGTCCGCCTCGACCTCCCAAAGTGGTGGGATTACAGGTGTGAGCCACCACACTTGGCCGGGAAAACTCGTAGAAGTTACGCCTGTATTCCACTGGACTCAAGTTGCATGAACATATTCCTCTCAAGGTGTAGCAGGATCGGCCATGGACAAAAGCCCTCAGAAACCGGTTAAAGAAGGAAGTGGCTTTATTTGGCCGGGAGCATCAGCAGACTTGCGTTTCAAGAACTGAGCTCCCTGAAGAAAGAGTTCCTGGCCCTTTTAAGGGCTTACGACTCTAAGGGGTTCCATGTGAAAGGGTCATGATAGATTGAGAGCACATGTGGTTAGAGTGGGGGGTTTAATCTTTTAACCTCAGGCCTGGTCATCAATGGCACCGGCTGGTCTTGCCACTGACTTTATTCCTGTTGTTTTTCAACTTTTACTTCCTCCTCTTCAGAGACAGGAGACAGTAAGAGAAATGGCCTCTCGCTTCGAAGCCTCAGAATTATTTAAAGGCCATAGCTTTAAATTGGAATTATTTGACATTTGAATTATTTAATTTCCTACTGAGATACAGGTACTATCTCCCTTGTATTTTGCCTTTCAAAGAGAGCTCCAAAGTCCTTCAGAAATACATCCCTGGGTCATCAAGCTGAAAAAAGGTTTAGTTAGTTTCTAAAAAATACCACTTCAGACCAGGCGTGGTGGCTGTCACCTGTAATCCCAGCACTTTGAGAAGCCGAGGTGGCCGAATCACTTGAGGTCAGGAGTTCGAAACCAGGCTTGTACCTGGAAGTTGAAGGCTGTGGTGAGCCGAGATCGTGCAATTGCACTCTAGCCTAAGCAACAAGAGCAAAACTCCATCTACAAAACAACCAAACAAAAACAAAACAACAACAAAACCTCAGAAGACAGAGAAAATCCATTTACAAATTTTCTAAATAAGTGTCCTAAGAGACGAAAGGAAAGCAAATCTCTTATTTTCAAAGGAGGAATTACGCCTTTCATTTATTTGCTTGTTTGTTTGCGACAGGGTCTAGCTCTGACACCCAGCTAGAGTGTGGTGGTGAGATCAGGGCTCACTCCAGCCTCCAACTCCCTAGCTCAAGTGATCCTCTCACCTCAGCACCCCAGCAGCTGGGACCGCAGGCGTGCACCACTACACCTGGCTGATTTTTTTTTATTTTTTATTTTTAGTAGAGATGAGGTCTCATCATGTTGCCCAGGCTGATCTCGAACACCTGGGCTCAAGTGATCCTCCCACCTCGGCCTCTCAAAGTGCTGGGATTACAGGTGTGAGCCACTGCTCCAGGCCCTGACTTTATTTCCATTAAATATGAAATTATCCTCCACTCCAGTGTGTAATAGTTTTGCATGTCACCTTTCAGTTTCCATCATCCACTCAAACAACCCAGGACCTTGCTTAGTTCAATAAGCCGCGCTAATTGTCAGTGCCCGCTATAACCAGCGCCCCACTCCACCCCTTTAGCGAGGTCCCTGCCCCTCTCCCCCGCCCTGCCCCAGACTGAGGGGAGCTCGCCCCGCCTGCAGGACGCGGGACTCTACCTGCTCCAAAAAGATTCTTTGCATTAAAACTATTTTCAACTCAAGAGGAAAAACGATTCAACGTTCAGTACAGGTGGCCCACTACAATATGTTGTTTTACCTTTGATTGTTCGAAATACTAACTTAAAAGGGACAGGAAGCATCCCTGTGATATTAGGGGTAATATCATGGCACATCAGAAACAATCCACCAATCAGAACCCGGAGGATCCAGTCCTGGAGGGCAAGAGGATGAGCCTAGGCGATATCCATGGCCCAGCTGAGGAAAGAACCCAGACCCGCCCCCTCCAGGCCCCGCCTTCAGGGCCAAACCCCTTCCAGACCCCAACCCCAAGATGACGATAACTCTCTGGTCCCGTCTTTTCCTGCTGTCCAGCCCGGCCCCCAGGCAACCTCCTCCCTCTTGCCCCGCCCAGTCCCATTCCAGGCCCCACCCCCACCGTCTAACCAGGCCGGGTTTCCAAGGCCGCCTGCACCCTCTCTCCCCGACCCAGCACCTGTTCTGGCCCCGCCCCCTCGGCGACCTTCTCCCCTCCGGTTCCCTCCCAAGGGTCCAGGGCCCGCCCACGGTTGTTCTGCAGCGCCGGGGGTTGACTCAGGTGAGTGTTCTTTTGTCTTTCTGCTTCAAACCTGTCTTTCGCAGCATCCCAGCCCCGAGTCCAGCCACACCAGGAATCTGGGTGCTTCGAGATATTAAAATCCCCACCCGACTGCCTCAGTGACTGCATTTTTACATAAATAGGGCAGGTGAAGCAATCAGATAGGCATTTGTCTCAGGTGTGCAGAGAGATGGTTCTGTCCCACACCTGTGCAGATAAGCTTCCAGTTTACATTGCCAGGGAGAAATGCAAAATAACTATTTTAGGGTGGAGGTCTCGAGGTTCCCAGTTTGTGAGGGGAGTATATAGCTTTTCTCTCTCTCTCTCTCTTTTTTTTTTTTTTGAGACAGAGTTTCACTGTTATTGTCCAGGCTGGAGGGCAGTGGCGTGATCTCAGCTCACCACAACCTCCGCCTCCTGGGTTCAAGTGATTCGCCTGTCTGTGGGGAAAAGAGAGAGAGATGGGATTGTTACTGTGTCTATGTAGAAAAGGTAGACATAAGAAACTCCATTTTGATCTGTACTAAGAAAAATTGTTCTGCTTTGAGATGCTGTTAATCTGTAACTTTAGCCCCAACCCTGTGCTCACAGAAACATGTGCTGTATTGAGTCAAAGTTTAATGGATTTAGGGCTGTGCAGGATGTGCCTTGTTAACAATATGTTTGCAGGCAGTATGCCTGGTAGAAGTCTGCCATTCTCCATTCTCTGTTAACCAGGGACACAATGCACTACGGAAAGCCCAAGGGACCTCTGCCCAAGAAAGCCTGAGTATTGTCCAAGGTTTCCCCCCACTGAGACAGCCTGAGATATGGCCTCGTGGGAAAGGAAAGACTTTACATCCTCCAGCCCGACACCCGTAAAGGGTCTTTGCTGAGAAGGAGGAGTGAAAGAGGGAGGCCTCTTTGCAGTTGAGATAAGAGAAAGGTTTTTGTCTCCTGCTCATTCCTGGGAATGGAATGTCTCAGTGTAAAGCTGACCATTCGTTCTATTCTGAGATAGCAGAAAACGGCCCTGTGGCTGGAGGTGAGAGATGCTGGCAGCAATACTGCTGTTACTCTTTGCTACACTAAGATACTTGTGTAAAGTGACACATAAATCTAGCCTATGTGCACATCCGGGCACAGCACCTTTCCTTGAACTTATTCATGATACAGATTCCTTTGCTCACATGTTTTCCTGATGACCTTCTCCCCACCATCACCCTGTTGCCCTCTGCTGCACTCCCCTCGCCAAGATACTCCATTGTAATGCTAGGAGATTTCAACATCCCACTTTCAATAATGGGTAAAACAACAAGAGAGCTGATCAATAAAAAAGTAGAGGGAGGCCGGGCATGTGGCTTATGCCTATAATTTTAGAACTTTGGGAGGCCAAGGTGGGCAGATCACCTGGGGTCAGGAGTTTGAGACCAGCCTGGCCAACATACTGAAACCCCATTTCTACTAAAAACACAAAAATTAGCTGGGCATGGTGGTGCATTCATGTAGTCCCAGTTACTTGGGAGGCTGAGGCAGGAGAATCGCTTGAACCCAGCAGGTGGAGGCTGCAGTGAGCTGATATCGCACCACTACACTTTAGCCTGGGTGATAGAGCAAGACTCCATCTCAAAAAAAAAAAAAAAAAAAAAAAAAAAGAACCTGATGATTAAATCCTTAAAATCTTAGCACTGCACCATCCAGCATTTGGTGACTGTTCAGGGTCAGAAGCTTGTGTCTTTCTCCCTGTTTGCAGCTACACTTCACCCCACCATCCTTAGCACCTTCACCCACTCCTGCACCTACTGACCCTTCTTCCCGGAAACCACATACGTTGGTGACTTAAATCCTTGCACGCAACAGGAGTAAAAGAATTTTAGGCCAGGTACTGTGGCTCACATCTGTAATCCCAGCACTTTGGGAGACCCAAGTAGGCTGATCACTTGAGCCCAGGAGTTCAAGACCAACCTGGGAAACATGGCAAAACCTTGTCTCTACAAAATACAAAATCAAAAAAAAAAAAAAAAAAAAAAAAAAAAGCCCATGGTGGTGAGGCACACCTGTAGTCCCAGCTACTTTGGAGGCTGAGATGGGAGGATTGCCAGAGCCTAAGGTGGGAAGGTTGCACTGAACCAAGATGGTACCATTGCACTGCAGCCTGGCCAACAGAATGAGATTCCCATCTCAAAACAAAAAACAAAAAAAAAAAAAAAAAGAAAAAAGAAAAAAGGAGTTTCAGTGTCTTCCTCCCAAAAACCTCTAAGCTGATTCCACTTTATCCACAGAGCTGCTGCAGTGCGGTGTGGGTGGAGGGAGGGAGCAGGAGGTACAGAAGGAAACAGTGACCCCTGCTGGCAAGTGCAGCACTAACACGCCTCGTTTTATTAGAGTTGACCACAGCCTGTTGGCCAATGTCTGCTCAACCCCATGAGTTCAGTATCAGCTTCGGGGACTCCTTGTCCTTTCCTCCTTCTGCCAGGAGGAGAATGAACCACAGATAAATCACATTCGGACAGTTCATTTCAATCCTCCCTCTCACACGACAGCCCCATTCAAGGGTTAGAGAGTGGAGGAATCTTACTCTCATTTCACTCCAGTTTGGGTGAGAGAATTTGCTGCTTGTTCCAGAAAGCCGTCTTCTGTCTGCTAACCACGCCGGTGAAGAATCTTTCTACCTTCCTCTTACACAAAGTCGTACCTGTCTCAGCATCACCAGAACTATCAGAAATTGCAAAGGGTTTTAGATTTTTACCTTACTTGCAAGCCAACAAGTAAGATTGTCAGTTTATGGATGTTGGCTGAAGACATGAGATTTCTGGATCTGAGAAAATATGTATTTTATTATTCATCACATAAATGACAGCAAGAACTTCACATCTGCACACATTCCGTCTACTCCAAGGGACAGGAATGAGGCATGTGTGCTTGTACACCATCCCTTTCTTATAACGTTTACGTTTCAGTGTCTTCTACCCAAAAACCTCTAAGCTGATTCCACTTTTTCCACAGAGCTGCTCCAGTGTGGTGTGGGTGGAGGGAGGGATCAGGAGTTAAGGAAGGAAGCAGTCATCCCTGCTGGCCAGCACAGCACTAACAAGCCTCGTTTCACAACCGTGTTTATGGGTCTATAGAGATCAATGAAGAAACATAAACATTGTACAAACATGTACAATTCACATGTTTCTGATAAGATCAGGGGGTTTTGTGGTACTCAGCCAAGCAGAGCAAAGCTTGGATACACCGGAGTCTCCACTGATGAGAAAAAAGGGGCTGACATTTGGGAAATTTGCATTGATCATTGCAGAGATGTTCACCACCAACTAACTGGGATTATTCAAAAGACCCAAACAAACTTGAAAGGTGAAGAGAGAGTGTAAAAGGACACAAAGGTGCTCACCAGGAGGATGGTTTTGGTAGCTCTGGACTCAGAGGAGGATGTGGGGGAGACGCTGCTTGTGCCTGTGGAGGATGCAAACAATGGAGCTGCTGCCCCAGAGCACGAGCCCCAGACAGATCACATCAGGGAAGGACAGCAGTGCCGCGTGCAGCGACTCTCTGGTGTCCTGGTGATGAGCAGCAGAACAGTATCCCAGATCTTTGGTCTTTGTGGTATTTTTGCTACTCCACTTGCCAGTCACGTGCATGAGAACAATGCTATTCACCAGCATGTGCGGGAGCCAGCTGAGGAATACACAGGAGCCAGCGTGCTTGGGGGCTTTCCCTTTAAATTTTGCCCACCTGAGCTCCGGAGGCTGATGGTGATGACCTGGAAGACACTCAGGAGGCAGGTGCTGCCAATGGACACTCCCCCAACCACTCCTTTGTGGACACACAAAGGAAGTTTACATCCAGAATCATTCAGGAAATGTCTAAACCCAAAAGCTGCCATTGTCTGTGGGACTCCTCTAGGGAGGAGGAATAAGGTGTTGGCTACAATTAGGTGTCTGATAATCAAATCTGTGGACCTTAACCTGCACCCAGTGATGGAAAAGAACAGATAATGGTAAATAAGAGAGAAATTCCCCAGGATTCCAAGTACAGTCTGCAATAAGAACATCATTCCCATTGCCACATCCCAGCAGCCGTTCTGTCAGTTCCCACAGGCTGCTACTCAGAGGCACAGGATCCTGCAGAGAACGTGATGCATGAACAACATTTGAAAGGTAACTGGTACTTGGTGGGGGCTGAGGTGGGGGAATCCCTTGAGCCCAGGAGATTGAGGCTGCAGTGAGCCGAGATCGCGCCACTGCCTACCAGCCTAGGTGACAAAGTGACACCCTGTCTCAAAAAATAAATAGAAATACTTCATAAAGTTACTTTATATTATGAAGAGTTTGCCATCTTTGGATGTGTCCCATTTTAAGTGTATTTGCAATGAATTGCTCTTTGCTATGAAGAACAGACATGTATTCACCTCCATAGTCTTCATAATCTATGAGCCAGGCACCACCATTATAAAGACCAAGAGGTCTCAAGCACAGAGAGATGACATTTGTGTAAATTCACACTGTGTTTGGGGTGGAATGGGGACTGATCTTGTCTGGGCTGATTTCAGAGTGCATTAACCACCATGCTCTACTGTCAAAGCCAGTTAGTGGAGTTCTTCCAATAATGAAGATACATATTTAATTTTTATTTAATACCTTGTCTTTATCTTTTACACAGGTGAGAGTTTTTAATTTTGGTTTTGACCAGTTTGCATTGATGTGTAAAATATTACCCCAGACTGATAGCAATTATGAATAAATCTTTAAAGACCTTGATAAAATGTAGATAGACTGATTAGAGTATAAAATTACAGGAATCTGCCTCATGACTAAATTAGATTTAAAAGACTGACCCCATATCAGGACAGCCACAGAGAGACTCACTTCCTTTTATGCCAAGAAAGAAAGTACGATGGCATCTACCACAGGAACAGTCTGATATCATGTCCTAACGACATAATGTGAAACACTAGAGTATCGTAAAAGAGAGTGGGTAGAAATTAAATTACCACTATTTTCAGTTCATATAGTCATCAATTAATGCATAGATTAATTGAATAAAAGTGTTGAGGTGAGGTGTGTAAATGGTGTTAATATAGAACATATACAGAAAATTAAATCTGTAAGGTGGAATCTTGTGCATTTGATAAATTGAAATGGCAGATTCAGAGATTAAGATTACATTTATTTACTTTTTTTTGAGACGGATTCTCACTCTGTCCCCAGGCTGGAGTGCAGTGGTGGAATCTCGGCTCACCGCAACCTCTGACTCCTTGGTTTAAGCGATTCTCCAGCATCAGCCTCCCAAGTAGCTGGTATTACAGGCACATGCCACCATGCCCAGCTAATTTTTGTATTTTTAGTAGAGATGGGGTTTCACGATGTTGGTCAGGATGGTCTCAATCTCCTGACCTTGTGATCCGCCCCCCTCGGCCTCCCAAATTGCTGGGATTACAGGCATGAGCCACTGCATCTGGGCACATTTATTTATTTATTTTATTTTTTATTTGGAGATGGAGTCTTGCTGTATTGCACAGGCTGGAGTGCAGTGGTACCATCTCCGGTCACTGCAACCTCCTCCTCTTGGGTTGAAGCGACTGTCCTGCCTCAGCCTCCTGGGTAACTGGGACTACAGGCGCGCACCACCATTCCCGGATAATTTTGTATTTTTTGTAGAGATGGGGTTTTGCCATGTTGGCCAGGCTGGTGTCAAACTCCTGACCTCAGGTGAACTGCCCACCTCAGCCTCCCAAAGTGCTGGAATTAGAGGCATGAGACACCGTGTGCGGCCTCTATGTAGGTTTTTTTTTTTTTTTTTTTTTTTTTTTCCTGAGACCGAATCTCACTCTGTGGCCCAGGCTGGAGTGCAGTGGTGCGATCTCGGCTCACTGCAAGCTCTGCCTCCCGGGTTCACGCCATTCTCCTGCCTCAGCCTCCCCAGTAGCTGGGACTACAGGCGCCCGCCACCTCAGCCGGCTAGTTTTTTTGTATTTTTTAGTACAGACGGGGTTTCACCGTGTTAGGCAGGATGGTCTCCATCTCCTGACCTCGTGATCCACCCGTCTGGGTCTCCCAACGTGCTGGGATTACAGGCTTGAGCCACCACGCCCGGCCTATGTAGCTTTTTTTAAATCCTTGTAGCTATCTCATTTAAGAATAAAATGGAAGGCAGGTTTGTCTGACGCAGTTCCCAGCTTGACTTTTCTCTTTGGCTTAGTAATTTTTATTTTCCTTTCACAAGCTTGTGACAGACATAATGCTTTAACACACTGATACTGCTTTATATAGATTTTCCAAACAGTAAAGTCCAAGGGTCTGTCATGAATTGGGTTAGAAGAGAGGAGATGATTCCCAGGAGACTCCTGGTCTCAAGCAATCCTCCCACCTCAGCCTCCCAAAGTGCCAGGACCACAGGTGTGATCCACTGAACCCAGTGGAGTCTCTATCTCAAAAAAAAAAAAAAAAAAAAAAAAAGAAGAAAGCAATACAGAAATTAAGGTACTCTATGGAATGACATCATTTGACTTTGTTTTTTGAAATGAAAAGTCTTACGTATTTATTACTGAACCCATCCAACTAACACATTCGTAACAGATTCAGAGAGAAAAAAATATATTCCCAATAAAACACGTATAACTCTCCAGACAGTGGTGACATCTTCAGCTTGACATGGTTAATGCGATTGTGATGCTCAGACAGCATAAATATATGTGCCATCTCATGTGCAATTCCTTATAGACCCAGCTTGGTTCTTCTCCGATGTCTCCTGTTGGAGTTGTACCTGATTTTATTACCAGTTTTGATCTGAATCCACTGGGGAATGGAACGATTTTGCTTTTGTTTCTTGGCCAGGAATCGCTTAATCCTGAAAGTCTTGTGAGAAGATCTGGCAAGAAGCAGAGTTAAGTACACACACCAGGAGAGGAGAGAGGAAGAGAAGGGGCTTGACCTTTTTTTTTTTTGAGACAAAGTTTCGCTCTTGTAGCCCAGGCTGGAGTGCAATGGTGCCACCTCAGCTCACTGCAACGTCCGCCTCTGGGGTTCAAGCGATTCTCCAGCCTCAGCCTCCTGAGTAACTGGGATTACAGGCATCCACCACCATACCCAGGTAATTTTTGTATTTTTAGTAGAGTCAGGGTTTCACCATGTTAACCAGCCTGTTCTTGAACTCCTGAATACTGTTTCTGCTGTTAGGTGTCAGTTCTCTTCACTGTGGCACAAACAAGATTTTTTTTTTTTTTTTTTGTAAAACTGATATGGGGTGGGCGCGGTGGCTCACTTCTGGAATCCCCACACTTTGGGAGGCTGAGGCAGGCGGATCACGAGGTCAGGAGTTCAAGACCAGCCTGGCCAATATGGTGAAACCCCATCTCTACTAAAAATATTGCAGACATGTGCCACCATTCCCAGCTAATTTTTGCATTTTTTCTAGAGAAGGATGTTTCACCATGTTACCCAGGCTGGTCTTGAATACCTGGGCTCACATGACCCACCTGTCTTGGCCTCTGAAAGTGCTGGGATTACAGGACTGATCCACTGCATCTGGTCTCATTGTAAATTGTAAATTTGATGTTTCTTCTTGTTTCAATTTTAGCAGAATGTATATTGCTTTGACAGAGTCTCTTTTCAAACTCATGTCTTATCCTTCTGAGTGCCTTAAACTAGAGCCTATTCTGGCATGTTATAACAGATTTATACCAGTTTATTTTGTTGCAAAAACTGTGAAATTTATGTACAATTTTCTCATAATACACATACTACATATTTTTCCATTAACTTCTTGAAGACCTCTTGTACTAGAAAACTGTATTCAAGAGGCTATAAAAAGGATTGTAGATATTCAAGTGCCACTTATTTCTGGAATGCAAGGATGGTTCAACATATTCAAGCAAATCAATGTGATATACCACTTGAACAGAACAAAAGATGAAAACCACATCATCTCAATAGATGGAAAAAAAGCATTTCACAAAATTCAAAATCTAATAATCACAGAAATCCTAAACAGAATAGGTAGAGAAGGAAATTTACCTCAACAATAGAAAGACCATCCATGAAATGACCAACGAGTAAATAACCAAGCTGGGAAAATGGAATGCTTTCCTGTAGGATCTCACGTGATGCAAGAATGCACTCACCCCTTCTATTCAATAGATACTGGTTGTCCTAGCCAGAGCAATTAAGTAGCAAAAGAAATAAAACTCATCCAAATCAGAAATAAGTAAAATTATATTTGTTTGTAGATGACACACTCTTCTGTGTAGGAAATCACAAAGAGTCAATCAAAATACTACTGGAGCTAACAAACACATTCAATGTATCTGCACAATACAATATCAGCACCAAAAATTAGTTGAATTTCCATACATTAACAATGAACAATTTTAAAAGAAAATTAAAAACACTTCCATTTGCTAGAGAACTTAAATAGGAATAACTGTAAAAAGATGAGAAATCTGTGTGTGTATATATATATATATATAAAACCCATATTGCTGGTTTGGAAAAAGTAATATTGTTAAATAATTATATAACCCAATGTGATTTAGATTCAACACAACACCCAGAAAAATCCCTATCAGTTTTCGTTAAAGCAGCAAAAAATAGGCTGGGAAAATGGCTCCTGTCTGTTGGTCAGGCTGATCTCAAACTCCTGGCCTCAAGTGATGTACCCGCCTTGGCCTACCAAACTGCTAGGATTACAGGCGTGAGCCACTGCGCCTGGCCCAATCCTCTTAACATAAACACTTTAATGTCAATTAATGCTTGATGGTTTGCTATACTCATTGCACTTGGAACAATTACCTCAAAAATGAATTTTCTGATATTCTACAAGGAGTGAAATCAGACTGAAGACCTTGCCACACTCATGATATTTGTAAGATTTCTGTCCAGTATGCATTCTCTGATGTCTAATGAGGTGTGAATGTGAAGTAAAGGCTTTGCCACAATCATCACACTTGTGAGGTTTCTCTCCTGTATGAATTCTCCTGTTTTGCATAGGATGAAGCTTGACTGAAGACCTTGGCACAATCACGACATTTGTAAGGTTTCTCTCCAACATGAGTTTGCCAATGAACTGCAAGGTATGAATGATGTCTGAAAAATTTCCCGCAATTATTACATATGTAAGATCTCCATTATGGATTCTCCAGTGATTTGCAATGGTTGTAGCATTACTGAAGACTCCGTGACAATCATTACATTAGTAAAGTTTCCCTATACCATGGATTGCCTGACGAGGAATAAATGTTGACTGCCCACTAAAGGCTTTGTCACACTCATTACACTTGTTTCTCTCCAGTGTGAATTCTAGTATGTTGTGCCAGGTGTGAATCATGCCTGAAAGCCTTGTCACAAACTCTTACATTTGTATGGTTTCTCTCCAGTATGAATTCTCCTGTCTTTTGAGGCTTGATTTGTGACTGTAAAC